GCCATTTGCAACACCTAGGAGAGACCTAGAGAAAAATACATTAAGTGAAACGAGTCAGGCACAGAAAGAGAAATATCACATGTTCTCACTAATTTGTAGGAGCTAAAAATAAATAAATAAATACACAAATAAACTGGGGGGAAGGGAAAAAGACACAACAATCATAATTCCTTGAAGTTGTTATGACAAGTGAACAGATATGAGGTTGTTGGGAGGGAGAAGGAGGGGGAGGGATATTTTGGTAATGGGCCACAATAATCAACCACATTGTATATTTATATAATAAAATTAAATTTAAAAATAAATAAATAAATAAAAAGGACAAGAAGGTAATGAACTAAAATGTTAATAATGATCACTAAGGGTTATAAGAAGATAGATAACTTTTCTACTTTCTACCGCTCTATTTTCCAGATTTTTCTTAGTATATATTTATTTTATTTTGAAAATACAATTTTTTTTATTTTTAAACTACATTTTTATGAAGTACAACATGATATTTTGATACATGTATACAATGTGTAATGATAAATTCAGGGTAATTAGCATATCCATCATCTTAAATATACATCATTTCTTTGTGATGAGAACAGTGAAAAACCTCTCTTCTAGCTATTTTTAAATATATAATATAATATTGTTAACTCTAGTCATCTACTAAGCAATTGAACACCAAAACTTATTCTTCCTTTCTAATTGTGGCTTTGTACCCTTTGGTTGATCTCTCACCATCACCCCCTTACTTTCTACCCTCCCCATCCTCTCTCTGGTAACCTCCCCATCCTCTGGTAACTACCATCCTACCTTCTACTTCTATGAAAACAGTTTCTTAGATTCCACATATGAGTGAGATAAATTGGTGGAATCACAAAAGACCCCGAATAATCAAAGTAATCTTGAGCAAAGAGAACCAAGGAAGTGGTATCACACTATGTAACTTTAAAACATACTACAAAGCTATAGTAACCAAAACAGCATGATACTGGAATAAAAATAGTCACATAGACCAATGGAACAAAATATAAAGCCCAGAAATAAACACACACACACCTACAGCCAACTGATTTTTGATAAAGGTGCCAAGTACGCACAATAGAGAAAGGATAGCCTCTTCTATAAATGGTTGTGGAAAAACTGGTTATCCATATGTAGAAGAATGAAACTAGATCATTATCTCTCACCATATACAAAAGTTAATTCAAATGGATTAAAGACTTAAATTTAAGACCCCAATCTGCAAAACTATTACAAGAAAACATAGAGGGAAAGCTTTGTGACATTGGTCTAGGAAGGAATTTTGGGATAAAACCTCTAAAGCATAGGCAACAAAAGCAAATATAGACAGATGGAATTACATTAAACTAAAAAGCTTCTGCACAGCAAAGGAAACAATCAACAGAGCAAAGAAACAACCTACAGAATGGGAGAATATATTTGTAAACTAAATATATGATAAGGGGTCAATATTGAAAATATATAAGGAACTCAAAAACTCAACCCCACCACCAAAAAAACAAATAATCTGATTAAAACAGGCAAAAGACCTGACTGAATAGACATTTCTCAGAAAGAAAACATACAAATGTCCAATAGATACATGAAAAAATGTTCAACATCACTAAACATCAGGGAAATGCAACTGATTATCACCTCACATCAGTCAGAATGGCTACTATTAAAAAATCAAAAGTTAACAAGTGTTGTGAGGATGTGGAGAAAATGGAACACTTTCACACTGTTAGTGGCAATATAAATTAGTTACAACCATTATGGAAAACACTATGGAGGTGCCTCAAAAAATTAAAAATAGAACTACCATATGATCTAGCAGTCCCACTACTGAATATATACCCAAAGGAAATGAAATTGGTATGCTGAATATATCCGCACTCCTATGTTTATAGCAGCACTACTCACAATAGCCAAGATATGGATTCAATCTGAATGTCCATCGACCAATGAATGGATAAAGAAAATGTGAGATATATGTATATACACACACACACAAACAAACACACAATGTAATACTATTTGACCATAAAAAAAGAATGAAATCCTGTCATTTGCAGCAACATTGATGAACCTGGAGGATATTACATTAAGTTAAAAATACAATTTTTGAAAGTGCAAACAAATAACCATAGAAACTTAGGTGTGGCTTTGATAAAAATAGTAACAGTGCTATTTATTCATCTTATTTCTCTACAAAAATGAAACCCTTCATTTTTTTTTTAGCATTGACTATGTTGCAGGCATAATGCTAAGCATTTTGTAAAATCTTATTTAATTCTTAAAATAACGGTATTATGATCCCCATTTTATCGACCCAATTAGGACTGATCAAATAACTTGCCCATAATTTAAAAGTATCAAAGCCAGAATTCAAACCCAAGGCTCTCTGACTGTAAAGCCCCTCCTCTTAACTATATTAATCTACTTCTGACCACACAACACTTACGTCCTTCTCTAGTTCCCATATTGTTTTCCAGTTGTGTGCATCTCACACAGTAACACTTCCATCAATAAAGAGCACAAGTTCTAATGAACCCATTTCACTGTCAAATACAGGTACAAATGAAAGCCGTGAGATTTGATGAAGAATGGCATAAAAGGGCAGAGACTCCTTTCCTCCTTCCCTTCCCTCCTTCCTTGCATCTAATTACATCACTCTTCTTTCCCATTTCTAACTCATTTTTCATCTATCATCTTCCCTCTTTTCCCCATTTCTTCACTATTTTCCTTTTCTTTTCTATCTTTTCATCTCTTATCCTCTTCCTATTCCTATCTATCCCACTCCCTTATTCCTTTCTCTTTTTCCACTCTTTCCTTATCCCCTTATTTGCTCCATACATTTTCATGCTCCCTAATCCATCAACATTTTTAATCCCTTGGAGAACTGATCATCCCTACCTTGTGTCCCTACAATAGCCACACATACTTTTCTATCTTGCATAGAGCAAGCTCTCATAAGTGACAATTATTTTCAATATCATCACCATCACCACCACCACCACCATCATCATCATCATGCATATATGTTGTTTATGTCGTTCATATCTCTAGGAGATATACTTTTTCTTCTTTGCTTTTCTCACACCTAGCATATGATAGGACACACAACAAATGCATCTCTCTTTACTTGTCCTCTTGGTTGCTTTCCCATCTCTTTCATCTCCCTATGTCTCTGTTTCTGTGTAGCACTGTATTGTGTCTGCATCTTTTCCCTTTAACTTCATTTTTTATTTTTTGAGAGGCCCAGTCACTGAGGAAGTTGAATTTTCTATTTCTACCTGCAATAGAGGATTGTTAACTCTTGCTCTTTCCTAAAAACTGACTGAATTTAGTCACCTGACTGAAGAAAATATAGGTTACACATTATCAAAAATGCAGGAGGATGGCAGGTTATTTGTCTTACCATCTTATGCCATTCAAAGTGTGTTCCTTATACTTACCTCACTGAATTAAAGGTCCTTATTGCCTTTTGATGCGTTAACCAAGATATCACCATATATTTATGTGAGAAATAATAGGCAGAGGGTAAATGATATTTACTCCCCCTTGGTGTTCCCATAGTACTATGTACAGTCATGCTCCACATAAAGATGTTTCGGTCAACGATGGACTGCATATAAGAGGGTGGTCCCATAAGACTATAATGGAACTGACAAATTCCCATCCCCTAATGATGTCATAGCCTTCATCTTAGTGCAACACATTTCCTTTTCTATGTTTAGATATGTTCAGATATGCAAATACTTACCATTGTGTTACAACTGCCTACAGTATTCAGTACAGTAGCATGCTTATACAGGTTTGTAGCCTAAGAGCCACAGACTATACAATACAGTTAGGTGTGCAGTAGGCTATACCATCTAGGTTTGTGTAAGTACACTCTATGATGTTCACACAATGACAAAATCGTCTAATGACACATTTCTTAGATTGTATCCCTGTTGTTAAGTGAAGCATGACTGTATATCCTCTGTCTGGGTACATAGCACTTAGATCACATTTTATCTTTACTTGCCTGATTATCTATATTTTTCCTGCTAGACTGTAAATTCTCTAAGGGCAAAACTACATCTAACTTACTACTGTAACCCTTAATCCCTATTAAAGTACCTAGAACATAATAGGCCCTAAATAAATATATGTGAAATGAATAAATGAAGCCTTTTTTCTCCCAAAGGCTTTCTTTCTAACAGCCTTTATTTTCCAAAAATGACATAATTATATAAACTTAGATTTTAAGATGAGTCAAATATTTTTTGGAATGAGGAAGAAGCATAAATAAATAGTTCTTAATTATGTAACATTATAATTTTTACACAATTAATTCACATTGTATAATAATTAGTCTTAATCCAATGTTACCAAAAAAAAAAAAAAAAGACAGTAAAACACCCAGGTATATAAATTTATTTACAGATTTAAATTCACTAGATTGTGGATTATTAATTCTCATATCCTTGTAGAGAAAGTATTCAGCAAATATTAAATTTTAATTATGAATTTTAATTGCGGTACTTAGCAGATTAAGTGATTTGATAACTACTGTTGACAATCCATTACTCAAAATTAATTAGACAACATATAATAATACACTCTAAGTAACTAACTTTCTAACCCAGAGAAATATTCTTAGTATTTAAATAGTATAATAGAACAATGTTATTATGTTATCAGGAATTAGAGATAACCAATAAATAGACTAATGGTATCTTATCACCATCAGATTTAGTTATATTACTGAAAAAACTTCTAATAGAGTGGTTCTATTATTATTTTAAATAAAATTAATTTAAATAGCATACGACCATCTTTTTAAAAATTAAGTCTCTTAATATTGAAAATAAGGAAATTTACATTTTCATAAAAATGTAAAACTTTCATGAGCAATAGTATGAAATGTGCCAAAACATTTAAAATATTTCTTTCTGAAAATCATTAGAGATTTTTCAAGTTACAATAACTCTTAAGGAGTAAAACATGCAAACTACCTGCATCATGACTTTCAAACGATCGAAGGGTGCTGTGAATGTACGTGCAACTGCGCTAGCTATTCCTGCTGCCACCAAACGCTTCCACCAATCTCCAGACCGCTTTTCTTCTTCAGTAAATTCATCTGGAATAGTTATACTCTCCCCTATGTCAATTATCTGATAAATGCAAAAAAAAAAAAAAATAGACTATGAAAAACTGATAAATTAAAAGGATAAATTTTTACAGGAACCAAAAATCCAAAGTTTTCTTTCGTATGTCAGTTCTTGTTAATGAAGGTTAACAATTTCCTTAGCACTTGTCCTAGACTGAATAAGTTTTAATAGCACTTTCATATATAGATTTAATGTAAAATTAATTTCCATTAAATTAGAGTTATTAATTTAAAATTGTCAAATTATTTAGATAATCTCTTCCATTAAAAATGTAAACCTTGAGTGCAGGGATCACGTTCTAGTCACCCACCACAGTGCCTGCCACACACTAGGTAAAGAATGAATGCTTAATAAATTTTACCTGCTTTATTTCAAATTCTTTCAACCTCCATTGTGCACTTACTTAAACCTAAGTCAGAATTCAAAAGCAGCATCTTATGTTTCGATTAATTTACTCTATTATTTACTTTGACTGTTTCTTCAAATGTTAATCAATTTTAAGAAATCTGCACTCTAACAAAGTTTTACGTCTCACTTTATTTTCAGTGATCATACATGCTTTTGCTAAGACCATCCATTTTTTCTAAATGTTGAGGCAATAGAGTTCATTGGAAAGAGTGCCGAACTGTACTCAGAGAATCTAGGTTCCATTACTTGTCAACACTTCTATGCTTCTTAGTTTTCCCACCTTCATTTATTCATAAGATCAGTCACCCCCCTTCCAATCACTTTCCCACCTCAGAGCCTTCGTACTTAATTTTCACTGTGCCTAGAACAATTCTCCTTGGCTCTTTCCACAGATTCCTCTCTAATACTTAGCACAATCTTAATTTATTTTACAGTTTTAATCGATTAGTTCATTTTCTGTTTATTGCTTTATTGCTCCACTAGAAAGTAAGTCCAATGAGGGCAGCAATCTGGTCTCTCTCATGTACTGCTGTAAACCTAGTATGTTGGTCCATGAAGACAAAGTTGCTCAATAAATATTTGGGTTTGGGGTTTTTTTAATTAACTTATTTATTTATTATGAATATTCATGAGATACAAAGCTGATTGTCCCCCCCTCCTGCCCATGATGTGGGGTCCAGATTCATACTGGGGGCATATCCATTACCAGAAATTACTTTTGTTCACTTTGTCCCCTCTCAATTATCCTCCAACCTCCCTCCCCTTCCCCCTCTCCCCTCAACTCCAATTGGTAGCCCTAGGAATGTTCCCTCCCTCTGTTGGATCATGGCACTACTGTGGTCTTTCTTTCCTGCCTTCCTTTCTCTCTTAGCTCCCACATGAGTGAGCACATGCAGTATTTATCCCTCTGTGCTTTGCTTGTTTCACTCAACGTAAGTTTTTCCAGGTTCATCCATGTTGTTGCAAATGGGAGAATTTCATTCTTTTTTATAGCAGAGTAGTATTCCATAGTGTATATATACCACAGTTTCCTTATCCAATCATCCATCAATGGACATTTAGGTTGGTTCCATATCTTGGCTATTGTAAACAGAGCTGCAATAAACATGCAAGTGCAGGTATCTCTTCCACATGATGATTTCCATTCCTCTGGATATATACCCAGAAGAGGGATTGCTGGATCATATGGAACATCTATCTGTAGTTGTTTGAGAAACCTCCAAATTGTTTTCCAAAGTGGTTCTACTAATTTACAGTCCCACCAACAGTGCAGGAGTGTTCCCTTTTCTCCACACCCTCACCAGCAAAATATCTGTTGAATTAATAAATTAGCATGCCAGACCCTGGGCTATGTATTAGCAATATAATGGAGTTAGTTTCTGCCCTCTAGGAGCATACAATACAATGAGACAGAAAAAAAAATCAATTATAATTCAGAGTGATAAGCACAATAACAAAGGTAGTAAATAAAGGTGTCTTAAGAACACAGTATGGATGCATTTAACAGAATGTGGGTTTTACCTTTTGGTTGGGGGGGGTAAGTGGAACTGTCAGGTAACTTAGAAGCAGCAAAGCCTCGATCTTAGTCCAGGTATTCTGACCTCAGAAGCTACCTTCTTGGCTATCATACTATACTATATCTCTATAGAAGTAGGGATTAACCAAGGGAATATTCTAGGCAGAGAAAATAGTGTGTTCAAAGACATTACATATTCTTTTTTTTTTTTTCCTTTTTGTCATTTTTTACTGACCGGTAAGGGATCGCAACCCTTGGTGTCGCGCCCATACCAGGGACCGGCAACGGGATCGCAACCCTCGGTGTTGCGCCCGCACCGCGCTCAGCCAGTGAGCGAGAACCGGTCTCCACATGGGATCCGAACCCTCAGTGGGAGCGCCACCGCGCTCCCAAGCGGTGCACTCTCCAGTGCGCCACTGGGCCGGCCCCCAAAGACATTACATATTCTAAGAACCACAAGATTATATGTAGGCATGGAAGGAGGGTAAAGGAAAGTGCAAGGTCTAAGAATAATGCAGAGATTTCTGGCTTGGACAACTGGGAAGGTGGTGGTACCATCCAGTGAAAAAGGAAAAGAAAGCTTGGGGGTAAGGTGATGAGTAGTTTGTACATGTTACATTTGTGGTATCTCAAGTGATATCCAATAAGTACTTGCATATGCAAAAGAAAGGTGTGGTCCACAGACATAAGATTTAGAATCATCAATCAGACTGTACTTGGTAATTCAACCTGGGAATGTAAGTGAAATTTCCTAGAAAAAATGTAAAGAGAAACAAAAGAAGTTGAAGATAGAACATAGAAGAAAACTACTGTATATGAGTAAGACAGATTGAGGAAGAGGATCTTCAGGGGAAACAGAAAAGTAATGTCCAAAGAGATGGGAAGAAAACCGGGAGAATGAAGTGTCACAAAACAAGTCTTAACAAATTGAAGAAGATTGAAATCATACCAAGTATCTTATCTAACCACCATGGAATGAAACTAGAAATCAATAGCAGAAGGGAAACTGGGAAATTCACAAGTACATTGATATTAAACGTTCCCTTGAACAATCAATGAGACCTATCCTAGAGAATTTGTGTGTTCACTAGAGAAGAATGTATATTCTACTGCTGTTGGGTGAGATATTCTGTATGTATCTGTTAGGTTGAATGGTCTACAAGTTCTCTCTTTGGTTGTACAAGACCTCTCTTTCCTTATTGATCTTCTGTCTGGATATTCAATCCATAACTGAAGTGGGATATAAAAGTCTCCTACTATTACTGCATTGTTGTCTATTCCTCTCTTCATTTCTGTCAAGGGGAGGTCAAAAAGTTTGTGGAAAACGAAATTAAAAGTTAAAATCAAAAATATAAACTTTATTTCTCAACATAAGTTCTATCAAGTTCAAGATACTTTTGTAAGTGATAGTACCAACGATTTAATCCATCCCTAAAGAATTGAGGGCCCTACAAATTTAACTATGTCAATTCAGTCTTTTTTACATAAACTGAAGAAAAATGGGTGCCCTTTAAAGATTTTTAAGATTATAGAAAAAAGAAGTCAAAAGGAGCCAAATATGGACTGTAAGATGCATGCCTAATGATTTCCTTTCAAAAGTTTTACAAAATTGCCCTTGTTTAATGAGAAGAGTGAGCAGGAACATTGCTGTGGTGAGAAAAGACTCTCTGGTAAAGCTTTCCCAGGCATTTTTCTGCTGAAGCTTTGGCTAACTTTCTCAAAACACTCTCATAATATGAAGATGCTGTCATTCGTTGGCCTTCCAGAAAGTCAACAAGCTAAATGCCTTGAGAACTCAAAAAACTGTTGTCATGTCCTTTGCTCTTGACCAGTCTGCTTTTGCTTTGACTGGACCGCTTCCACCTCTGGTCCACCACTGCTTTGATTGTGCTGTCTTCAGGATCGTACTGATAAAGCCATGTGTCACCTCCTATTACAATTCTTGGAGGAAATACTTCAGGATCTTGATCCCACTTTTTTTTAAACTTCCCTTTGAAAGCTCTGCTGTTGTCTACAGCTGATCTGGGCACAACAGTTTTGGTACCCACAAGTGAAAGTTTGATCGATTTTGGCCGGCCCGGTGGCGCACTGCTACAGTGCGCCGCTTGGGAGTGTGGCGGCGCTCCCGCCAAGGGTTCGGATCCCACATACAGACCGGTTCCCGCTCACTGGCTGAGCGAGGTGCGGGCGCAGCACCGAGGGTTGCGATCCCATGGCTGGTCCCGGTCCAGTACGGGCGCGACACTGAGGGTTGCGATCCGTTGCCGGACACGAAAAAAGATAAAAAGGAAAAAAAAAAAAAAAAAAAAAGA